TATATATATGTCGATTTGATCAAAATTTAAAGTAACTTTCGCATGCCTCAGCGGCAAACGCCTGTTCACGGTGAAAGGTTTCTGTGTCTGATGACTTTTGTACTGCAACCGTGGCTAAAACATTTGGAACTGAGCATATTAATATGTAGTTACTGTTTGAAAGAGTTTATAAATAATTTTTGTTTTGTTTTGATTTTTTACTTTGAGAAATGGGTAGTTACTTCAACATCTTATATGTGATTGATCTCTCGTTTTTGTTTAATATAGTGGGTAATTCTGTCCTAGGGTTACAAAACGTAGGCAAGTTTAGAAATTAGATTCAATAGGAAAAAATGCGTTAGCGTCTGAGGAATAGCCGTTCCTTCTTGTTGCTAGGTTACACAGTGCTGAGAATTTTATCAAGACGTTTCTATTTGACACCTATTATTGAAGGGAGAGCATAATCATTTACCGGTGTTAAACGCATTGTTTGTCACAAAATTGGTTTCTTACGCTCAAACTCTTGGTTTTGTAAACTAATTAATTTTTTTTCTTTCCTTTTTTGTTTAAGGGGATACTTATGACTTGAAGAGGAGGTTATCAACAAATGTCACTGCGCATATGTACTCATAATTAATCAAAGTAATCAGGGCCTTATCATAAAAAAACCAAGTGGTTTAAGAGTGTTCACACTGCACAAACATAAATCTGGTCAGAATTTTATTGTCCTTAGCCAGATTTCTGTCAGTATTGGCAATTTAGGATCCATCTAAATTTGAAACATAAATTTCAATAGGCTCAAGTTGCCGCGATAAACGACTATTTCGTACCTTGATCTTTCAAGGTCGTGGAGCTGCTCCAGTCGGACAATTTGAACGTGCGCACAGAGGAGCTGGTGTTTGATGCTCTCTGTCGCTGGATCGACTACAGTCCGGAGAGGAGGCGTCGGCACATCGCTAGGCTACTGAGAACCATTAGACTGGGTCTCCTTACCACCAATTTTTTTGTGGAGAAGGTAAAAAAAAAAAACGTAGCATATTTTTTTTTTTACTTCATTGTACATTGTGCGAGTGTGTGGAAAGTTATTTTGGAAGTACGTCTGGCGCCTCGAGAATTCCGGTGGCTGTTTGTTGAGACAGAAGACCCCCCGTGGACTGCAAGGTGCGGAACAGAAAAAAACCCATAGCTCTCTGAAAATTCACCTACCACCATCCACCGCCCCCCTGCCCACACATACAAATACATCCCCACATTCTGATGTTCTTGTGTGATATCTAGAATGGGGTATGAGTTAAATGACAAAACTCTACGAATTCCCCCCGCCTCGACCCCCTTTCAGAAAGTAAAGTTTTTAAAAACGTGTCTAGCACCTAATGCTAAAGTGACAGACGTGTGACCCCCCCCC